AGGGCGGCATACAAATAATAAAATTCAATTCAATTCAATTCAACTGGTGAATATTCCCCTTATTGGAAAACCATTTGCTCAATCCATTGCTTTTCTTGTAATTTTCTGAAATTCAATCAATTGACTCCTGCTAACCCTTGCTATGTTGGAGAGAAACTCACTGAGCCAGGGGGAGGAACCAATCAGGGAATTAGTCTGGAAATGCAATGTGGGCATAACAGGGCAAGGTCCAATCCCCCTTGAATATTGTCAAATCTAGTTTGGCCCAGATGCAAACTGTCAACCTCTTGTGAAATAAGCATGAGCAAGAAAGTAGCTAATGGAATTCTTCATTGAGTTAAGTAGATTTGATTATCCATGCCTAACAGGTTGTTTGAGAATATTTTATTGAACTTGACTTTGTTTTACTATAATCTTTGATAGAAAGACATAAATAATTTGGAGCTTTCAAGGAGAAAGTATCAATGGAGGCTCTTTTTATTGTTATCTTAAATGCACGTTGTGCTAAATGTGGAATGAACAAGACAAATGAAAAGGAGAGTAACAATGAAAGAGAAGAATATAATTGCATTTTCACCATTGTTTTCTTCATTGCTAGACTGATCCAGAACCATGATAATTAATGAATACTTTTCAAACGACACCCACCATTCACATTTAAATAGTTATGACATGAATCATCAGTGCAATTTTCTTGACAATAATATGGAAAATGTTTGCCATCCTCTAGTTCATTCCCTCCCCACACACACACCTTCCAGATTATCCTATAACTCTGGATTCTGGTAGCCCCCCAATCTACTTTTGGAGTCTAATTGGAAGGTTCACAAGTTGCCATATAATTTCAATTTATATATACCCTACATTTCCAGACCAGTGTTGTAACTTTGTGTTATATATTTATCTATTTATCGATCTTCACTATGCAAAATGTCACAAAATTAGTCTGAAAATATAAATTTAATAATAAAATTTAAACAAGGAAAGCTATAAACAGAAATTCTACTACATAACTAAATTTTGTAGGAGACATTTGAAAGAAGGCAAAACCTGCCTTTGCTTCAATTAACAGCACACAAATAATATACAAGTTGAGAATACAAATATCCCACATTATACAGTCCCTTCTATTTCTTGCACATAAAAAAGGACATTTTATGAAGGGTGTTTTGTAAATGGTAACTTACCTTCTGTTGAAAACGAACCATATCGAGGAGTTGTTGTGCCCCAGGTGATAATTTGGATCCCATTGATTCCATTATAGTTTGTACTTTATCTAGGTCTATTCCTGAGCCTAATGTAACACTTGGCACTGTTTTTGCACAGGCTGACTGGACTTGTACTATGATTTTATTGATGAGTACTCTTTGTTTTTCATTGATGGACAATAGCTAGTGAAGAGAGAATTCTGGTGAATTGAGGAAATAATTCAATTAATTTAAGACACTCTTTTAAAAAAATGACCTCCAACTGTCTCCTCTTAACTCTCATTGTAAACTTTATGTAGGTACTAATAATAGGTCTGATATAACTAAACATAAGTGAATAATATGACTAGGTTGAAGCAAAACATTAGATGCATTAAAATTTGTTGTTAGATAGCATTAAAGCCACAATTTCAAGAAGGACTAGTTTCTTGATTCTGCACTAGTGATTCCAAGCTTACATTTTATAGAACCTTTGAGAGCAAATTGCCAATTACGTCAGTAAACATGAGTTTCTAATCTTTTATTTTCTGCAAAATGGAGAATGATGCTGAGTGAACCTCCTTTCTATTTTTCTCTGAATCAATTTTATATTAGTTAAGCGTATTGAGTCTCACAGGCCAAGGATGGAGGTTAAAGAATTGAGGAAAGTTTTGGGGTACAAACAGGAAAACATGGGACTGGAAGATGGGTCTATTGCATGTTTGCAACTGGGAAGGAATAGTTTTTCAGGGTAAACCCTTGGTGCTTCTAAATGTTATCAATCTGTCTCCCTATCATAGTTTACTTGTGCTATACTGCTTTTTGCTTTTGCTTACAAAAAAGGGAAAGATATAATTAAAATCTGCTTATAATCAAAATGTCTGGAATATCACAGATTAAAGGAAATGGACTTTTTTTTTACGACTTCCAAAATGTAAAAGGGAGCAGAATAATTTCATTTATCACCATTAGAGTTGTGCAAGGCATTCAACAGAGGCTTCTTTATAAAGCGTTATCTCTTCTCAAAGCAGCTCTATCACTGGAAGGCCTGTACAACGCTTCAAATATTGTTTCAAGCAGTTTGCAGGTATGCATGTCAACCTGCTTTATTTGCAGTTTCAGAAGCGTTGCCTGTGTATACAGATACAATGTACAGACAGCTGGAGAAAGTTTTCAAAGAAGCTGCAATCCAGTTGTTTCAATGCTTTCAGGAGTAGTCCTTCGCACATCATCATACTTTGCAAAGGCCCTCTTTTGAATAATTTGTAAAACTGATGGAGTTATCTTTTAAAAAATGAGCCAAAAATTTAAGAGGTTTTTTTCTTTTTAATAACCTACCTTAATCTTACAAGAAACCGTTGAGGGCTCCAATTTAACATACTTTTTGTATAGTGAAACCTGATCACCGTTGCTAGAAAAAAGTAAAATGAAAGAATTGTAAAGTTTTTATAATGCTGCATCAATGAAATAGTTTTCCATTTAAAAAAATACAATGCTCTTTTTTTTTTCAAAATGCCACTTACATATTGTCCAGTAAACCAGAGAGCACTACTACGTTTTCAAATATTACAAACTTTCAATAGCACTTACGTTTCTTAGTAATCCGCAAAATACCAGCAGTTACTTAAATATAGCAAAAAACTAAAGACCCCACTCACAATCCAGAAATTCTATGTACATAGGCAAGCACTTCAGGGTTAACACAGGGTACCTCTATCAAATGAAGTACTCATTGATTTCCACTGAAGGTTTTTTTTCCCCAAAATCACAAGAACAGAAAAGTAGACATTAAGAGGTACAGTGAGATGGTTGAGAAAACTGCAATGAGAAAAAAGCTTAATGCTCAGCAGGAGCTCCAAAAATGAACTTTAGGGTTTTTTTTAGCTATTTTGGAAAAAACATCAAAAATAAATGTTATAGAGATAATCCATGTATGATTAAAGTTCTGTTCCAGGATTATTTTTAAATAAACCTCTTGGAAGCAACCTGGCTATAAGAGTTATCCTCTCCTTATATAATTTGAGCATGTATAAATAATCATTTTTTCTTTCATGAAATGAAACATTAAGATCTCTACCCAACATGTCAAATTATTAACATCATATCTATTATATTCCTGCTATCCCAACATGTTTCTTTAGGAGAAAGAACTTTCAAAAATGTTCTAACCAATCATCAAAATGTTCCTTTCGGTTTCACTGCATTAGCAAAACACAGTCTACATACCAATAAGAATGCAGAAGAAAAAACAATCAAGCCACATTACTGACATATATTAAAATATTTTGAGTATATACTTTCTGGAAGTCTTATCTGTGAGACTGACTATAACTTATAGAGCCGAGGTGGCACAGTGGTTAGGGTGCAGTACTGCAGGCCACTTCAGCTGACTGTTATCTGGAGTTCATTGGTTCAAATCTCACCGGCTCAAGGTTGACTCAGCCTTCCATCCTTCCGAGGTGGGTAAAATGAGGACCCAGACTATGGAGACGATATGCTGACTCTGTAAACCGCTTAGAGAGGGCTGAAAGCCCTATGAAGCGGTATATGTCTAACTGCTAACTAATTAACCTCATTATATTGTTGACTGAATCAATGCTGGAAACACAAAACAACTGACCTGCCGTGTTTGACAGTAAACACTTGCTCTCCCCTTCCAGTTCCGTAGTATTCATCTCCTAAGTACACTTCCATGTTCCTTGCTTCACTTACAATAGTTAGACTGACAATTTCTTGAGAGCCACATGGATCACAGTGCAAGTAGAGCAAACAGGGAACGACACCGTCAACATTTATTTGTCCTTCAAGAACGACAACATTCTGACTATATTAAGAGAGAAAGGTTATCTTAAGTTACTCATTTGAACATCAGTACCTCTTGGAAACAAACATTTCAAACGTATATGACAAAAATCCGAAAATATCTCTCCCATGGCTAAAATTTTACACAGGCATTCAAATGGTTATCTCTTCAAAGTTTTATCGCAGTTACATGAAGAAAGAAGTGGTTTTTCCTACCCTTTGAAGAGAGAGGCTGAATTTAGATTCAGAAAACAGACGCATGGACTACTGAAAGGGAGAAAATATATCTTGAGTCCAAAAACTGTATAGCGTCCATACATAAAAGAACTGAAAACTGTGCATTATTATGTTTAAATCTATCTAGCTTATTTTAGGATCTGCACTGGAGCTTTTTCGCAGCCAAGAATGAATGACTAATGAAATAAATGAATATGAACTGAATACAAAAATGAGTTATCAATATTAAACAAGTACGTTGAGATGATTTTATTACACAGGTAGTCCTTGCTTAATAAACAATAACTGGGACCGCCTACTAGCATACTATCTGTTGTGGCCTGGCAGGAGCCGTTGGAGCTGCCGCCAGACTCCGACAGCAAGGGGTCTTATGAGTGGGCCCTGGAGGAGGTGGAGGACCCTGGACAGGGTTCCGACTCCGAGCAGGGCGAGGAG